CACCCCGGCACCTCATGCTGCGCTTCGGTACAGCAGACTGATTCCGAAGAGCGCTCAAGTCGAGCTGCCCCATAAGTGCGACGAGGACGAAGCTATACGGAAGGCATAGGAGAGCGCTCTTCGGAATCAGTCGGCAGTGACTTCGAGATCACGACACGGGGTTGAGGAGAGCTGCAGGTCTTCGCCGACACGCTACGTTCGTGGGTGGACCACACTTATCACGGTGCAGCGGTGCGGTGCAGCGGCCTGTGGCGTGAGGCGTGGGGCGTGGGCGCGGTTCATCGCCATCGGGATCGGGATAGCCGAATGCTGAGGAGCAGCAAAGTCACCGTGGCGCGTGGCACGCTCCCCCCGCGGGGCCGCGCGGTGATTCCCGGCCTGGCTGCAGACTGGATTCCGAAGAGACCTCGAGGGGCGCTGCTCTATGAGTGCGACAAGGACAGTATACAGTATACGGAAGGTATAGGAGAGGGTTCTTCGGAATTAGTCGGTAGGTTGGCCTGGCGTGAAGCGTTCAGTAGTTGAGCGCACTTCTCACACCTGACCCGGAGAGACGCGCGGCCAGGTTCGTCTCCTCCTCCGCATCGCGTGGACCCACCCCTCGAACGCCTGCGGGTCTGGAGGAAGGGTCAGGGTCCTTCAGCACATCCCCCCCCCCCTTTTCTCCCAGGGCTCTCGCCAAGGTTGTATCGAATGTCACCGACGAGGCGAGGGAGAGTCGCAATCCCGATTCACAGGGAGATTCACCACACCGCACTGCTGTACTTACGCAGCCACCTCTCCCCCCTCCTCCCCCCCCCCAAAAAAAGAAAAATAAACAAATTATAATCTCTAGTCACCTGCTCATTCTAACCCTTGCCCTTACCCAGCCCCTTTCGCTTTGAAGACAGAAATAACAAAGATCCTCGGGCCATCTCATGTCATGTGTTGATTGAGGAGAGCCTGACGAGGAAAACAAGAGACCACGCCACCCGAATATATTTTGGGGCAGCTTTCTGTTTGAGAGACAGAGGGGGGCGGGGGGAGGATGGGTAAGGGGGACCAATAAGGGAGTAAAGAGTGGAATCTGATAGATATTGCCTCGCAGACCGCCGAGGGTCCGTGTGTTTTGGTGTGTGTTACATGTCTGCGTGTTTTTATTATACATGCACGATGGTGTGTGGTCATACACGATTGTGTGTGATACGCCGTTGCTCTCCTCTGCTTGTCTCTAATCGGAGTGGCGCCCAAGGACATCGCCCCATGTGCGAGTCACGTGGTGAAGGGCATGGGATTGGGAGAAGCACGGGAAACTTGTTATGTCGCACATTATTGTGAATGTGAATTCGGCCGAGAAGAGGGAGAGGAAGGGGCAGGGCAGGGAGGGATCCCTGTTGACAGCATCTTCTCCCACCCTTCACCACCGAATCACTCCATCGGCACCCCCTCCCCCTCCCCTCCCTCTCCCTTCTTTCTCCCTTTTCAACCAGCTATCGCCAAACATGATGTAGCCCATCTTGTTCACTGATACTCACTCGAACGCAAACCGCGCCAAACCCGCGGGGTTTATTGTTTTTGAACCCAAATTAAATCTAGCTGGGTTCTTGCTGTAGTGTATTTCGACCAAAGGGGGCAGAAGAATAGCGGGTAGAACATAAAGGTTCCCGATTTGCCGAGCGCTTACCCCCATTACTGGCGTGACGTAGAGGCGGGAAGTTCTCGACCAATCGGTAACGTTTATGATCTACCCGCTCTTCTACTTCCTCCATTAGTCGAAATACACTATTGAGCACTGCAATACTGCAAGCATGCTCAGGTGGAGTTTAAAGCCAACAGTACGGCACAGCCAAAATAAAATCTTCCATGAACTGGCTAAATATTGCTTGGAATCTTTTGAATATTGTGGGCGTGGTTACTATGAGCACGAGGGTCGGTGGCTGGGGTCCCGGGGTTCCTCTCTCCCATCCTCATCGACCAGATGATGGTGATAACCACCGCCTCACGCCATCCGCCCTTATCACAGCGTTTTCCTCAACACAATTACGAAATTCGCAGACTCGTCGGACTGGCGAGCACACAGCCACGCCCCGTGTGTCGGGTAGGCCAGGCACCAGAACACGGGCCGTGCACACGGTGGAAAACTCACCAATAAAAATTCGATTGGGAACACAATTTTTCGTAATTTATTAAAAATCAATAATTATTATACACAAAGATAATACAATTAGCTCTCTCTTATACTCTCACATCTCTTTCTTTACAATTGTAGCTTGCAAAAGTAACACAGCCACAGCGGAGAGGGAACAGCAGCTGGGGTTGGATCCACACAATATCTTTACAAAAATATCTTTAAAGTCACTTTACAATAATGTGGGCATATCACTAAACTCTCATTTATACACAATAAGTCCACCCATTATCTAGTCCTGCTTGTTCTGGTGTCTTTAACAACAAAACATAGCATCATTCCATAAAATTTCTTCAAGTTCCCACAAGAAACAAAACAATATTTCCTTGTAAAAATCCAACCACCTACCATCTCGGACGTAAAAAAAAGTGAAATAAAACTGTACATAATTTACATTGACATGCTTTGGTTTATAACAATGCTACACATGGTTTATCTGCGCAAACAATGTGAAAGGTTTCACCTCCTTCATGACCCATCACAGCAAATGCACATCACAAGTCACTCGAATCAGTTCCTCACACAGCATACTGTCTTTCATCCAATAACAAGTAATCCAGTCTCTCATTCATTTCACACTCATACTGACTTTCATGTAACCACAAATAAAGATATCTCTTGGTGCTACTAAAACACCTCTGCACAATCACACACACAGACACACAATCAGTCTCACATATACATTCACTCACTCTATGTTTCAATGAACACAACAAGACCCATTCACTCTCCACCACACACTAAATGCTGCAAAAGCATTATCCCCTCACTATTTACTGTACTTAAAAAACAAGTTGGGGGCATTATCCCACAATTTCCATGTACGTATGTTGAAAAAATAATTAAACAAAACAAATGTGTCTATGTAACACAATGATAACACGTTAGTTTTGTACTTCATCATCACATATGAACAGCAATGGAGCAGGGAGAACATCCAGTAACAAACGGCGGGCGGCGCCTGTCCGACTAGCGGGTGCAAGACGCTAACTCAAAGTTGCGCCTAACACCACCCAGACCCGCAACAAAAGAAGGATTGGAAGACTACAAAAGCTACATGTAAGACAGAGTAACAAAGGAGAAACCAAATATTTAAAAGAGAAACAATAAAATTTAACTTCTCCAACAACATATACTTTAATTAAACATAAATAGGTGCAATACTTTGCGAGAAATGCAGTTAAGTTTAACACAGGGCTGCAATCTCAACGGAATGGACCTGCATGACAATAAAATGAGGGAAGCTATGTTAAATTTGTTTTACTTATTACAACAGACAATCTAACAAGATGAAAACCACACAGCTGTCCCTCATCTTATATCACACAGACTGGAAAACCAAAGGTTCAGCCAGTTACCCAGTATAACAAAATTATTTAAACAGTTTCAACAAATTTTGCTTTCTGTACATAAAAATATATCCGTATATATATTTAAATATATATGTAAGTAAAATGTATATATCTCAAATTTCTGCAAATATTGGACTAATAAAATGACTGTGCTTAAAATTCCAGAATGTTGTCAATTTAGAATTGTAAAAATAGTATTTTTGAAATAACAATTATTAAAATTTAGTTCCTTGATCCAAAGGCGCTGAACTACAGAAAATACACAAGAATAAGAAGCTATAGTGCTATTTATCAGTCAAAATAATTGCTTTTACAAAAACTACAATGGTTTGAGGTTGAAATGGAACTGTTTGGCAGCATTTCTCCCACATGGGCCACAGACTGCACACACCCATATGTAGCAAAATAGAATATTCCCTCTATTTGTATATGAAAAAAAAATCACAAAATTTAGATTTTATCTCTCCTTTTTACTTCTTCAGCCCTGAGTAATTTCTAATAGAATCTCTTTCATCCCTAATAGAATTTCATACATACAAAAGTTATATACCTCTCATTTTGAAACATGGCAATATAAGTGAAATTCAGCAACTATTTTGAGCACAACAAACAGAGTGGTGCAGTCAGTGTAACCCAGTTCGGCCCGGCTAATTGACACGTCCGCATGCTTGCCTGCCCCTGGGCTTGGGCAGGGCGAGGGGGTGGAAACTACACAACAATATCAGCCTTAGCTCCGGTCCGCTCCCTCCACCTTCAATACTCACTAGCCACTCGACTGGTCCCCAAGGCTGCCTGGCCTGCGCTCCTTCAGGTAATGTATAAATACTTAAATATATCTTTTAATTAGCGATTTTAAAAAATAGGTTTGTTCACATAATTTCACCTCAATGCTTGGATGTAGTAAAGATAAAAAAATAATAAAAAAAAGTGTAGCATTAAAAGTCATTTAAGAAGTTGATTTCACATTCACAGAGCATATCACAAGTGGTATGAACGCCTCTGACCAACCTGCTACAGCCAAACTCTGCTGAAGTAGCTCCTCCAGAGGCGCGCGTACCATTCTCTCCGCATCACTACGCACAACAAATGCCCAAGCCAACACGACAATGCTGACTTGTGGCGTCAACATGTCTTGAGTATCTTGTCATTCTCTTTTGGTATACAAATATTAAAAACAATCATATTATGCAAATTTAATTTTTACATAGATTATGCTTATGTTACTTTTAAAAAACGTCATAAATTTTAGAAATAAAAACAAGTAACTTCTTAATCAATGCACTTTCAAGTTAACAATAATATAATGTTCCAGCAGCTAAACAGTTTGAGCAACAGAGGAACTGAATTCTTCTTAGCCACTCAACACAACCCTGCAATAACAGTGTGGAATGCTGAAGAGGGCATCATTTGGACAGTTTAGAGAACAAATAAGCCCTAGTCCAACAGTCCCTTTGCTTCATTAGGGGTGATCAGACAGCAATTTCTGTAATAACGATGACGTCTGCTCCCCTCCAGCTCTTGATGGATCTTCCATGGTATTCTGAAAATACAACAATAAGATAAGAAAGTAAGAAATGTAATGGCAAAAGATTTTTTTTTTAACACATAATGGTTCATTTAGTACATACCCTAGAAAGGCTAGGCTGAGGTGAAACAGCTCCCATATCAGAGCCCATATTAACCCAAGCCTTTGATCCATCGGCATTTCCACCTGCATTCCCAAAAGTTAGTTAGTGGTTAACCTCATTAATTAATACTGATGAAGAGACACCACAATATATATGCGGTGAAATAACCAGCACTGACTAGAAAAATCCATACCTGAGGGTGGCATATCAAAATTAATGCCAAGGGAAGAGAGATCAGGTTGCTGCTGTTGTTGCTGCATAGCCATTCCCATATGTTGTTGGGGGTTTCTTGGGCTTCCTTGCTGCTGCATTCGAGCACCAACAGTGGCACGAAGCTCCTGTTTTACGTATTCTGATGCCATACTGTTATTTCCCGCACCTGTTGCCATAAAAATTTCAGTAAGCACACTTTTCAGACAAAACAATAATAAAAAAGAGGGACTCTTTCCTAAGAATAGGGGACGGGGGGAGATAGTTATTGCTAACAATGGTGCTTAAAACTAAATAACTTGAAATATTAAAATTGGAATGTGAAAATTTGAAATATTGTGAGATAAATCAAACTAATTTGAGCCTGAAATACGTGAACATGACTGCTAGGAGAGTTTTCTGATGAACATGTGCAGAATTCCGTGCTAATGACGTACATATATACATAACATAAAGCTAAACACAAACATTCAAAAGAAACTACACTACAATTACAGTCAGGTCAATTCAATGAAAATTGAATTCAGGGATTGCAAAAAGCATGTCCATTCCTTCAGATATGAATGGGACACAGAAAGCAGGAGTTTCCAGCACCATCATTCAGCAGACATCTGCAGTATTCCTGTATAAGTCCCCAGTAAACATAGATAACATGCAACTTTTCTACAAAAACAGGATTTGGCCAAGATGATGCAAGAAATTCTCACATTAAATGGACTATGAAAGGAACATCAAAACATGAAATAGGATAAGAAAAAAAGGGGGAGAAGTTAAAACTGTAATTGCAGCAAGGAACAAGTCCCTGAAAGCACCAACAGGACAACATAAATTACTGCAGGTTAACACTTCTGGCCCAGCTTTGAAAATTAGCACAACAAGCTGTGAAGAAGCTGGAGAAGCTGTGCCACATACAGTAAAACCTCAATAAACTGTGCCAATGCTTCTTTGGCTCCAAATGGAGAAAAGTCATGATAAGCCGCACAGGTCAATCGAGGTTCTACCATACACAACTTAAATGTCTTATAATCATCAAATTCCTTGGTAGTCAGTCTTCATTTGGCAACAGGGCCTGTGCTGTACAGGTCATGTCTTGTCAAGTCAAGGGTATCTTTAAGGTACAAGCGGTGCTTCCTTTTCAGCCCAAAAAAGCTGAATGCTTTCTAAGACACACAGGTGAAAAAGTTCCATCCAAAAATGTGGGGTTGGCATGACATGATTGATTGATATGCAATATTAAAGCAAATTTACAATTTTAAAAAAATAAGAATAAAAAATAAGTCATTTTGTTTTCACACCAACCCCAGTGCAAAGTAGATTTAAAACAACCTGCAAGCAAAATACTAAGAACTTAGTTAAATGAGAGATGCTCTTTAGACTGCACTGATTCTATGTGCCAAATTATCAAAAGAAGAATTAAAATTCACTAGGCAACCAACTTAAAACTTTCTGGAGAATAAAATCCAACAGTTTATTTTTCTTAGAAGAAGGAAGAAAAACAGGTATTTGAACCCACTACAACAGCAATATGTCCCTCTGCACTAACAAAATGGGTAGCATTGGCAGCCCTTTTGATGAGTTATGAGGTCAGCTACATTTTCCATCAATCAAATAAGAAGAAAACAGACAATTACAGGGTCCCGCTTGCAGTAGCATCCAGTTTGCACACACTTTCGGTCCTTTTACAATATTGCAACAAGCACTGAAAGTATGGCTATAAGGTCGTGCAGTTTCCTAGCCCACAAAGTGCACCAACATATAACAAAAAGGGGAGGAAATGGGCTCTGTCTCGCCACAACATGAACTACCCCAACATAAACACTACATGCACAGGTTTTATTTTCCACGTAGTCAGAATAATTTTCCAAGCCAGGTAACACACAGCCCTTTCAAAACAGTAACTGGATTTCATGCTAGAGGAATGTTTTAACCCTGAAATACAATGTGGGAGGGAATGGACTGGAATGACAAGAGACCCTGCAGGCAACATGCATGAACTGTGGCGAGACAGGCCAGGGCGGGCAGGCGAGCGGGCGAGCGGACCAGCAACAGAGTGCAGGGACTGGAACATAACAACACAGGACACACTACCAAGTGCTGCTTCATCCCTCCTACAAAAAAAAAGGTTTTGGAGGGGCGGAAGGGAAGAGGGGTTTACACAGATAAACAAACATGCTGAACATCAACCATAGGATTAAGAGAGAAGGAACCAATGTGGTGGCCAGAAGCCTGCGACACGACTGAAAGCGACTCCTACTACTTCGTTAATAAATGTCACTTGGTTTGAAAGAACATATTAATTGGTATGCAGAAAAACAAAAAGCAGCTGGCTGCGTTCAAAAATGAGTAAAAGTTTTTTTTAAAAAAATAGGCCTACATCAGTGTCGATGCGTTCAAGTCACTTGTCGTGTTAGACACTATGTACATTGCTAGCTACATGTATTGTGTAATGTCACATTGGTCGCGTTGTGTCGTGTCGCGAGCGGGTGCGGGACAAGCACATACAACACATAAAGCGACACGAGACGTGCAGGCTGGGCCAGGCCAAGGCCAGGCTGAGCGTCAGGGCTGAGCCAGTGCTGAGCAGCGTGGCTGAGCCAGGCTGCAGCTGAGCGGGCGAGGAAAGGCAGGGAGGGGTTCCAAGGGTAGCCAAGGGTTTGGGAAAAGGTTGTCAGGGTGATGGGCCGACTTACCGCCGGTTGGCTGCGCGGCGGGACCGGGACCTGGTCGGCCCCGGTCGCTGGACCCATACATTAAACTTGAATGATCATACGATAAGAACTGCGAGTCGGGGGTGGTTGAGGGATGCGGAGGTGGTAGGGTGGGGTACATCATGGAGTGAGGGACATGGTGCTGGAAGGGATGTTGAGATGGGTGGGAGGTATGAGACGGGTGGGCGGGGTGTGCAGGGTGGGAGGGATGAGGAGGGTGGTTGGGGTGTTGGTGGTGGTGGGGATGGTGGGTTTGGGGCACGTGACTGTGGTCGGGAGGGTGATCCTTCAGCCCGTAAAGCCATTGCGGACCTGCTGGACCTGCAACAATCATAATCAAAAAGGGCCAACGGCCAGTGTCAGTCACTGGCAGGGCAGCACGCAATCCAAAGTGCTGGTATCCAGTTGCTGAGGCGAGGCGAGGCGACAGCTGAAATGAGCCAGATTGAAAGCAGGGAATTAAACTAATCCGCTGATGAAGCCTTGTCAGTTCAGCAGGCACCAATGACTTGACCGGACCGCCGGCTGCTTAGCAACATCAAAGAGAGACACTTGACTACGAACGTCTTGCATTAGTAAAATTACAAGAACCAAGTTAAGATCTGAAAAAAAAAATTGCTTATTAAGACTGTTAATTTGATGTATGTAATATTTGGTCTCCAAAACGACTGAAGAAGAAGTTAAGTTAGAATTGGCATCATTATTTTGAAAGTCACTTAACAGCTTACAAGGGATTTATTAATGCATAGCTTTAGCTGATTGCTGCGGTCACTGTATAAATTTTGATGTACGTACGTCCAGGGATATGACAGCAAAGCAGGTTACTCACCAGGAAGTTGAGAGTTGGCATTGGGTGCACTCATTGTGCGTGGCAACCTCATAGTTTGGTAGTATGGGTTTGCATTTGGTGACGATGGAGGCTGAAAGCCATCTGGTGGGAATGGTGACTGTCTCGTTGAGCCAGGCGTTCCAGGACTAGGCATAGATCGTAAGCCCATTTGGGCTTGTTGTTGTTGCTGCTGCTGCTGCTGCTGCTGTTGGGCTTGTTGTTGCTGTTGTTGCTGTTGCACTTGTTGTGCTTGCTGTTGTTGCTGAGCCGTTCTTGCTTGGCCCACAAACATTCGCCCTGGTGCACCATATCCAGCCTGCTAAAAATTAATAATGTTTAGGGAATAAAAGACAACAACAAAGAAACATTTGAAGTACAAGGTATCTATAACAAATGAAGTCATTAGATGACATACCTGTTGAGGCATGGCATAGCCAGGTTGCTGGACTTGTGAGATGCGAGGTGACAATTGTGACGGTTGAAATGATGGTAGGCTGTTGGCTGGCAAAGGAGATAACCTTGCCTGAGCAGCCTGTACATTACCCTGTACACCTTGCATTCCCTTAACACCAACCCCCTGGCCTTGCAGGCCACCTGGACCTTGCCCGCCGTTACCAAAACTATTGAAAGAGTGGAAGAGTTGACAGTTGAGAATAGGAAATACATTACATTTTTTTTAAAGTGTAGACAAAAGATTGAATACTGACCCGACAGGTGAAAATCCTGGCTGCTGCTGGCCATGGGGTGAATATGGTTGACCTAACCGCTGGGCAGCATTTTGCTGCATGGCGGCATTTTGTTGCATAGCAGCATTTTGCTGCATCGCTGCATTCTGCTGCATTGCATTCTGCTGCATTGCTGCATTCTGCTGCATTGCGGCATTTTGCTGCATTTGGTTATTATAACTAGGCGATAGTTGGGACTCAGGAATACTGGCTGACCTCTGCAAATAGAAAGAGATATTTAGTGTAGTGACATTAAAAATAACTGGTTGAAGTATTCTAGTTTTCTTCTCAGTATAATATAATAAAAAACATATATAAAAAAATTAAAATATGAATGGATGAACACATAATTTAAGGTATGCATAATCAAAACTGACGATCTTACCTGCAATGAGACATTTGGTGCCCCAGCATCATTGAGCAAACTACTAATATTCTGCATGCCAGGTTGTAACTGATCAGCAGAGGCACTGGGTGGAATTAAAAGCTGCTGCTGTTGCTGCTGTTGCAGTAACCTATTGCGATCTTGTTGAGCCTGTTTCTGTTGCTGTTGTTGAAGAAGTTTAGTTCTCTGCATCATATTCTGGTAAAAAATCACACAATATTGAATGAGAGTTAAGGGATTAATTCAATAAATAAAAAAATAAAAAAAGTTAGGGTATACCAAGTGTTTTGATTATTACCTGTTGGTTAGCTAAAGCATTTCCTGACATTGGATATTGGGGAGCAGCAGGTCGCACATTCATAGCAGCCTGCTGCTGTTGCTGTTGCTGCTGCTGTTGTTGAGCCAAGGAAAACCTTGGCCTGTTTGTGGTATAAATAGGAGGGGGGACTGGAAATCCACCTTGCTGAGTCTAATAAAAAGAAAAGAAAAAAGTTTTAGTTTAACTTTGTTATTTTTCTTCAATGGCAGTTCTCATCATAGACAGTATAATAAAAGGCTCATGATAATGCAAGGGCAATAAAACCAGTGAACTTACAGAAACTGGATTATAGGTTGGTGGTGTAACGGGACCTAATGTGGGAGAAGATGGGCTCTTTACAGCTGATTCACACTGCATGAGACTTTTTTGAATGGCGCTGATTGCCATTTTCTCTCTCTCCCCTGCAATAGGATTGGATCCACTTTGAGGTTGAGAGACCAGTAAGTCATCCAAGACGCTGACTACTGATGTTGATTCTGATCACAACAGACAAATCACAAAATTAGTTGCAAAAAATGGCCAATTCTTTTAAGAGAAAATTGTACAGTATACACACCAGAATCAGGGACTATATCTATCACAGAGTCAAGAAGGTCTGAAAGGTAGGGATCAGATGTTTGACTATCCCACAAATTTGAATTGTCAGGTCCACCATTTCCTCCACCTGGGCCACTGCCCGGGCCAGGACCTCCCACACCAGGCCACTGCTGTTGCTGCTGCTGATGTTGCTGTTGTTGTTGCTGCTGCTGTTGGTGTTGCTGGAAATAAAAGTCACATTGTAGTTACTACGTAATTGCATCAGTACTAAGTATTCCAAACTCAAAGAAGTGATGAAATATTTCATAGGTAAAATCATCAAGTGAGCGTTCTTACTTGAGCTTGCATTTGAGCTTTCTGCATTTGCTGCTGGTGCAGTTGTTGGTCTTGGTGGTTCATCATCATGTTGTGCCTGGCCTGCGCCTGCGCTTGTCTGGCACGTGCGTCCTGACCCTGGGCCAGGCGCGATTGGTTGGTATTTACTGTAGATGAGGACGGAGATTGAAGAGATCCACCAGACCAAACTTGAAACAAAGGTAACAATTAGGTTGTGAAGTTCCGTAGAGTTAAAATAAAAGGCATTCAATCAGAAACATAACAAGTAAGTTGAGAGATGGCACTCACCATTTGATGCTTGCTTATTGTGTCGATCAGCGACTCTAGGGAGCTTATCCTGAGGAGTGGCAGATATGATGGAGGCCGGCACTGGGGGGATAACTGCTGGTTGCGAAGGCTGCTTTGCAAGCAAACTAGCCAGCATTTTGTTCTTTTCCCAAAGCCTTCCTGGGTTGTTGGCTGAAGCACCGGGCCCACCTCCTGGTGCAGGTGGCCCACCTGATGAACTGACATGTTCCAGACCACCCGGTCCACCCCCTGGTCTGTGGCCCCTAGGCCCCTGGCCGTGAAAGTCGTTGTCTGACTCATCACTAGGCCTCTTGCGATTGAAGAGAGAGGCTGGTCCACCCGTAGGGCCGGATGAGCCCTGTGATGGCGACGAAAGTGACAGTCCTAAACTACTAAGGAGTTTATTATCTTGGCTTCCTCCTTCAGAATCGTTTTTCTGAATCAATAACTAAAATTTAAAGAAGAGAAAAGTATTTTAGAAAAATACAACACATGCTTCCATGAAATAAGACACTGTAAGGATCACTTTACCTCAAGCAGCATGTGGTTCTTGTTTGTTTTGGGTTGTTCTGGAATAGGTGCAGCTGGGCTCATTCGAGTTCTATCATCCTCTTGCTTTAATAAGCCTATTAGAATAGGATCTTTCCTTCTAGTATCTTCATCACAACCACTATCACCATCTTCACCACTAGCTTGCTTTGTTATTAGACGATTTCTTAAAATTTCTGATTCACCACCCGCACTTCCACTGTCTACCAAACCATCTTTTGAGTCTTTACTTTCATCCTGAGTACAACCATAATCATAAGTACTACCAAATGGACTGGGTGCAGCAGTTGTGCTGGGAGGACGTGAAGTCTGTGGAGTGTTCGTTGACCCGTCTCCATCCAGATTCCATCCGGTAGAACTTGGAAATAGTTCATTCCATTCATGAGAATTATAATTTACAGGTGATGAATTCGTAAGTGAGTCTCCAGTTGATGCTGGGGTATATGAAGCACTTGCATGTGATACTTGTCCGTTAACAGGTGTTGAGAACAAAAGAGGACCACCAACACTAGCAGGACTTCCACTAGAGCTTTGCCCACTTGATGGTAGAGCTGGAAGTGGTGAAGCTCCTTCCATTGCAGAGTTATTCCTGTGATCTGTATCATCACTGTAAAGAAAACAGTATAGTCCATGAAAATGAGAACAGTAAACAAAATTGCATGCGCTTCAAGAATAAAACTGTGATACTTACCCTAAGATAGTGTGAGTAGAATTTATAAAATCCGACAAGACAGGGCGCACCTGTGACTCATTTTGTACCTCTCCCTTCCACATTTTAGATTCTATCTGTACTAGGATGTATTTATTTTCCTGTACTTTAAAGCGATATTGCATCCTTGTGGGTGTTTCCTTACATTCTTTTAAATGACCCTGTAATCTGGAATAATCATCAGGGTGACATATTTCTTGTATTTTCTTTCCTTTAAAATCATTCTGAAATCAGAAATAAAACAAGTTAAGGAATGTAGATAAACAGTAAGCAATAATAGTAATTAAAAGCTCAGATAATCTGCTAACCTTATTAATGTTATATTTTTGAGGGGGATTCAGAGTAGCTGTGCAAAACTCAAGAACTTTGCCATCTTTAAATCTAATTGTAAAAACATCACCAGATGGAAGAGAGAAGATAGGTTTTTCCACTTGAGGAGTTACTCTTCGAGCTACACACAAGAGACTACCTGAATCCCGGAGTGTATCAGACATAATAAGCATATTAACGTATTGTTCAGCACGCTGTTGCTTTTCTTCCATAGACACATCTTGGTCAGAAGGTGGCTTCACCAGGAGGCGTAAGGGCACAGCTTTACGGGGTTGTTGTCCCTGTATTTGCTGCGGCTCCCCATTCCAGGGAAATAACTTCTCAGAAAACCGATTATGGTCACCTGGGTGCACAAAGTTGTAAATGCTTTGACCCACTAAATCACTTTTGGTGTATTTGATGAAATTTTCTACAGTGTCCGTGCTAAATTCAACTTCTCCCTCACTGTTAACGACAAACGCAAAGCTATCAGCATTTTCTAGCATAAGTCCGGTAAAGACATCTTTCCCCTTAAAACTGGGTTTTGAGGAGGACACTTCTCCCTGCTGAACAGCATTAGCATCTTTACTAATGTTTTGGAGTTGGGTGACAGCTGCTTGAAGGATTGCACATCTGTCAGGCTTTACAGCCATAGAGTGACTATCCGTAAAGCGTGAATTTATGAGTTCAGCGAGGTCTTCGATGTGCAAGCCCTCCAACTCCCGTCTTCTTTTTTCATTGACACACTTATTACTGTAACAAACAAAGAAAAGACAACAATTAGATTTGATGACTGGAACATCACTGTTAATCAACAAAGACCAATAAATAAAAACACTGCCAATCACTTGAAAGTATACAGTATTCAACATTTTATGTAAATCAAAATTAGCACCAAATTTTTTTTTACACACAGCTAATGATCTGAACGACTCACCCCCCCCCCAAAAAAAAAAGGAAAACTATCCGCAATTTCTCAGGCCAAGTCATTTGCAAGGGCCAGACACGGCGTGCAACATTGAACAGCTCTCGGGTACCTAGCAGATTACAGGGGGTTAGGGGGAAGGGAGGGGGGACAACCCACTCGAGGGGAGGGAGGGGTACCGTATGCACATCGAACGCATGTAAACAAACAGGCGAGGAGCGGCCCGGCGGCGGCGGCACGTGGGTCGGGCTGTGAAGGAGTTATCCCATCCCAGCCAAGCGCGGGGCGCGGTGCGGCAGAGGCGGGCCGGCGGCGCTAGCCTTGACGCAGGTCGTCGGCCGCCGATGGCCGCCTCTGCCTGCCGCACCGCGCCGCGCCGCCGCAGTGCCGCGCTGCGCCGCGTCGCACCGCGCCGCGCCAGGGCTGAGCAGCTTCTCTTTCTGCGCGGCGCAAACGCCCGGCTATGGGCTGAGCAAAGTAAAGTAAAGCAAAGCAAAAGCTCATAGCCGGGCAGAGGAAGAGAGGGCCCCGGCGGGACGAAACGCGACGCGGTGCGGCTGCAGGGCGACGACGCGACGCGCGCGTCAACGTCACACGCGTCTTGCCGCACCGCGCCCCGCGAGCGAGAGAGAGAGGGCTGCGCGGGGCTGCGCGGCCGCCAAGTACGAAGGAGAGGAGGAGGAGAGGGGGGCGCTGGCCGGGCCGCGGAGTGACGCAGCGCGCAGCACAACACCAAGTGCCGGGCCGGGGCCCCGCTGGGGCTGGGCTGGGCTTGGGCCCGCCGGGGCGAACGGACATGGATGGGGCCCCCCGGCACCAGGCCGCGCGGCCGCGCTGCCCACCACCACCACCGGTTCAGCGCACGGGCTTACTTCAGCCTGCAGCTGTGCTGCTGCTGCCGCAGCCGTGGGGCCGCCCCAGCCGCTACATGACTGGATTCGACAGACTATACCGCAACTTTTAGGGGAGGGGGAGGGGGTGTACTTTCTTTCCGCCGGCCCCATAATCAAGATCTTCACGGCGTAATACGAAGAAATGCGCAACGCCAGGAAAATTGTACCCGCAAAGCATAGACTCATTGGCATGTCTCGACTTGGAATAAAGTGCCGTGAGAAAAGTACCCCACCCTGATACCATGAACACTTCTCACACCCCTCAGGTGCGTGCAGCGCTTTCGAGCAGTTTGCTGCCGCCACAAACTAACCCCCCCCCCCCACCAACCCCGTTGTGTATACTTACATAGACTGCGACTGAGATTTGTTGTTCTCTTTTTTCCGTTTCCGGTTGCCGCTGCCACCAGTGACAGCGTTCATTTTAACGTCTCCCCACTCCTGCAGCTCGCACGGGCCGCGCCTGCAACAAGGAAGAGAGGACAAAAAAATAAGTTACTCGCCATTCAAACTTAAAAACAAACAAAAAATCCTAAAAATTCTAGACGCTGAAAATTTGCACATTTCAGACTACAGTAATCGAGCCAGTATGGAGTTCGTTTAGGTGGGCCGGCGGTTCTGGGCGTGGTGGTTTAGTCACACCGCATGGCACGCGTGCGTAGCGGGCTTGCCTACCGTCGTTCACCACGGCTGCGCGAGCGCGCGCCTATGTGCCAGAGACACCATATGCAGCATCACGACGATAAGAGAGCCCCAACC